GTCAAATAAAATAGCTTGACGACTTATTTTAACATGTTTTGACTTAACATCCACTATATGCCCCTCAGTCAACCACTTGTTTGCCCCCCCCCCCCCAAACTAAAAAAAGTCACGTGATTGACAGTAAGCAATTGACAAATCCTTGTGCAATATTAATTCTCTTTATTGACTAGATGTGGTATCCCTGTGGTGATTATGGGAGAGACTGGATGCGGCAAGACACGTTTGATTCAATACATGTGTGCTCTTCAAGCTGGAATAAACGGTCCGCGGAATATGCTGGTGATGAAGGTATAGTGCTGTTGCGGTTGTTTTGAGCTGTCGACTGTGGGCGTGTGTTACACGCAACCTCAGGGCTGATCAAAGTCAGGGCACGGCCAACTTACAGATCGAATTGGAATTTAGCGTGTTAGGTTAGGGGGGAAAAAACGGATAACCCGAAGAAAACCCTTGAATCAAGAGAGAGTCCCAATAAACTATACTCACCATGTGATTCCGGGTCTGGGAATCGAACTCGAGAGCCCAGGAAGGTGAGAGAAGAGTGTACTTCCCCTACGCCACAGTTGCTACCCTGACAGACAGGCTTGTTTCTCTATTCCAAAAGGTCCATGGAGGCACATCATTCGAAGATATCTGCAGAAAGGTGGAGCAAGCAGAAGAAATGGCTAGGAGGAACGAGGAGCATCAAATTGACACGGTGCTGTTTTTCGACGAAGCAAACACCACTGATGCACTACCTATGATAAAGGAAGTTATGGTTGATCGAAGAATCAATGGGCAACCAGTGGGAGAGGGGCTACAACGGCTGCACTTCATCGCTGCCTGCAATCCTTATAGAAGGTGACAAACTGAAAAAAAAGTTTGCCGTATGGTCTTACTAAATAAGAAACTGCTTGGAAAGACCACAATGCAGTCTTTAAACACAGCTTTCAATAATCGAATTTGCAATACATTTGTAAAAAAGGCATTAACAAAGGATTGTCACTTTTCAGAAATCAATGTCAGTCATGTTTTTCCACACGTTTTTTAATGGTGTGGAAGAAAAAGTGTTTGTTCTTTTTTTCATTTGTTTGTTTGTTCGTTTTATTTGCCGCAGGCATAGCAACAGGATGATAGAAAAGCTAGAGTCTGCTGGTTTAGGCTACAGCGTCAAAGCAGATAAAACTAAAGAAAGACTAGGTAAAACGAGCATCAATATTATTACGATAAAGTTCTTGAAATTTTATCAAATCCTGAAACAACCTTTAGGCTGATCTAAGTCAGGGCACGGCTAACTCACAGATCGAACCCTGAAACAACCTCTGGGTTGATCTAAGACAGGGCACGGCTAACTCACAGATCGAACCCTGAAACAACCTCTGGGTTGATCTAAGTCAGGGCACGGCTAACTTACAGATCGAACCCTGAAACAACCTCTGGGTTGATCTGAGTCAGGACGCGGTTTACTCGCAGACCGAATTGGAATTTATTGTATCAATGAGTTGTGGAGGGAGGAAAACCAGAGAACCCGGAGAAAAGCCCTTGAATGAGGAGAGATCTAGCAATCTCGGCTCACAAGTGATGGCGAGTCTAGGAATCAAGATGGTGCAAGCATTCTCCAGAAAACAAAATGACAAAAGACATGAGTTCCATGTTGAATGATAAATGCAAAACAGAAAAGAAAGACTGAAGCTGAAATATAAATAAATAAAAAGAAACCTTTGTTAAACTTGTCCATCATGGCGGCAGGCTATGTCGTCGGAAAAGATGAAATTCTTCCTATGATACTTTTTTAATGTTATTTCTTCATGTTACAGGCAAAATTCCTTTGCGCCACCTTGTCTATCGTGTCCATTCCCTGCCTGAAAGCATACGTCCTTTAGTTTGGGACTTTGGTCAGCTTAGGCCCGAAACAGAAGAGAGGTACATCTGTGAAATTGTCAGCAGATACGTGCGTAACGACCAGGTGATTTACTTATACATGTTTTACATATGTTTTACACACAGTAGTTTTATCATTTAAATTTCTGCTCATGTGTTAATTTTGTTCTCGTTAGTTTTCACGTTTAGCTATCTGATACATTCTACAGTTCAAATAACGATATTAATATGATTATCATCATTTATTTATTTATTATTACTGTCTTTATTATTATTATTATGGCATTTGTATACTTAAGATGCCTAGGCATAATTACATTCAGTCGGGCAGGCTAGCTGTGACCGACTAAAATATTATTATCATCATCATTTTTTTTTTTTTTTTT